GCGCCGGGCCTTCCGCGGCCTGCTGCGCGCGGAAGCGGGAGAGGGGCGCTTCCCCGAGGCCGCGCCTGCGGGCGCCCCCCTCTCGGGGCGCCGCGCGGGGGGCTCGCCGTCAGAGGGGAGGGGGAGGGAGGGAGGAACGAGGACGTAGCAGGGGGGGGGGGGGGCGAGGACGTAGGGGAGGAACGAGGACGTAGCAGGAGGGGGGGAACGAGGACGTAGCAGGAGGGGAGGAGCGAGGACGTAGGGGGGGGGGGATGGGGGGATGGACGGAAGCAGGGAGGGAGGAGGGAGGGTAGACGAGGGCGGAGGGGAAGGGGGGAAGGGGGAGGGAAGGGGGGGAACAGGAGGAGGGAGGAGAGGGATAGAGGGGAACAGGAACGAGGAGGCATGGAGAAAGGAAGAGGGAACATTTTTCGACTGTTTCGTATCTCGCCCCCCGCGAGTTGCGCGGTCTGGCCGCGCCCGCCGCCGCCGCCGCCGATGCCGCGGCGGCCCTCTCTCGAGGGGTCGCGGCCTTGGGGCCCGCCCCCTCTCCGCGCGCGTCTGGCTGAGGCGCGCGAAGCACTGCTGGGCGAGGGTCGCGGCCCTGAGGCTCACCCCCACTCCGCGCGCGTCTGGCGGAGGCGCGTGGAGCACTGCTGGGCTGCTCACCTCCCCGATGCTATGGGGCTGGTTATTCAGCTTGTTGTCCGTCGTGATGTTCGACGGGCTTGCTGGCAGCAGCCAAGAGGCGTAGTGCCCACCGTCTTCGTCTGTCTTCCGCGCTCTCTGCTGCTTCTGTTGAGGTCGGTGGTCGGCTCGTCGTTGGCGGCAGACTGCCAGTCGGGTCACTACTCACGCCCATCTTCGTGTGAGGTGGTGTGGTGCGTGCCCGCTGGTTTGATCCAGCTCCTTTGTCGGTCGGATGTTCCCCACATGTTTCGTGGGGTTCCGGTTTTCATCCCTGCCGTGTCGCACCCGCGACCCTCCTCCTCCTCCTCCTCCTCCTCCTCCTCCTCCTCCTCCTCCTCCTCCTCCTCCTCCTCCTCCTCCTCCTCCTCCTCACACAGCGCAGCACAACACAGCACAGCAACGCACTGCTCAGCAGAGCTCAGCTCAGCACAGCACAGCACTGCTCAGCACAGCTCAGCTCAGCACAACACCTCAGCATAGCATAGCTCAGCACAGCACGGCACTGCACAACACAGCACGACGATCGTCCAGGGCACAGCAGGCGTGGGGTTTTGTCGACACCATAGGGGGTGCGCAGGAGGTGGTCCCTGAGGCCGGCCGCTATGCGTGCCAGGGCCGGAAAGCGTAGCAGGCGTGGCACTTTGTCGACACCATAGGGGGTGCGCAGGGGGTGGTCCCTGAGGGCGGCCGCTATGCGTGCCAGGGTCGGAAAGCGTGGCAGGCGTGGCACTTTGTCGACTCCATACGGGGTGCGCAAAGGGTGGTCCCTGAGCGCGGCCGCTATCCGTGCCGGTCGTCCAGGGCATAGCAGGAGTGGCAGTTTCCCGACACCAAAGGGGGTGCGCAGGGGGTGGTCCCTGAGCGCGGCCGCTATCCGTGCCAGGCATCCAGGGCATAGCAGGAGTGGCACTTTCCCGACACCATAGGGGGTGCGCAGGGGGTGGTCCCTGAGCGCGGCCGCTATCCGTGCCGTTCGTCCAGGGCATAACAGGAGTGGCACTTTCCCGACACCATAGGGGGTGCGCAAGGGGTGTTCAACGTCCTCGTCGGTCTTCCGCACTTTCGGCTTCGTCGTCTTCGTCCTTCGGCGTTCGTGGGGTCGGCGAGTTGGTCGTGTGGTCGGTGTGGGGTCGGCTTGTTGTTGGTCGTGTCGTAGGGGTGGTGGGCGCACTTGTTTGGCCTCCATGCGCCGACTTCAAGTGGGGGGCGTGGCTGTCCCATCACATCCCGCTATGGCTAGGGGTCACAGTGCCCTCGGCGGGGGCGAACCCCAGGCCTTGTGCTTGCTTCTGCTCGTGGTGGGATAGGCCGCCGCTGTCTAGTGCTCCGCCTCATAAGCGTTCGGGTGAGCTCCTCCTCCGCCGTAGGAGCGGTGGCGAGCTAGGGCGGGCCGCGGGGGCACGGGCAGTGGCCGTCCAGCCCCCCCCCCCTGCCCGTCACCACCCCCCCTGGCAGGCGCGGGCAGTACTCGTCCTGCCCCCGCGCCCTTCGAGCCCGTCTAGAAGTTTGCGCCTTGCCTCGCCGGGGCTGCTGCGCCTCCTTCTTCATGTCGGGGTGGTGGGCTGTCACCTTGGCGGTCCTGCTGTCGGTCGGGTCGATCGCGCTTGCCTCTTGTGTTGGCTCGGTGTGCGACACTGCTTTCACTCTGAACCTTTCTCGGTGCAGCGGCGTCCGCCTCCTCGTGATGTCCAGCCCCACATGGCGACTTGAGCCTGAGGTGTTCCCTCGCATTCAGGGCGCCCTCCGGACTTTGCGCCCTAACGCCATCAGCTCCGCGTGGCGACTGCTGCCTGAGGTGCCCCCTCGCATCCGGGGCTTCCGCATGTCT